CAATTTTTTCACTAGTTACTTTTCCCTCGATCTGTCAACACACCACCTTGTATGAATAAAAACAAAACAGATGCTTGTCAGTGATGTCGGTTTGATTGAATTTTGCAGAAATATGGATCCGTAGGAAATATTCACAGAAGCTCAGATTTTTGACGTAGGATTACGTCTTTCGGCAACACATTGAGGGTGAAATTTAAAAAAAAAAACAAAACAAAATCGACCGTGTTACGAAAACTGGTCAGGCTTTGACCACTCATAACTCTGTCAATATCGGATGGATTTTAATTCTAAACAAGCCAATCGATTGGAAATTTTTCTACAAATCTGCTAAAACGAGCACTTAATCAATTTTCAATATGTCATCATTGAAAATCACACAAATGTCCAACTGTTGCAATAGTGATCAAAATTTTCACAGATTTCCTGCGAAAAGCACTTCCCTAACACAGATTTGAAAATCGAATTCCATCCGGTCTCGCTGAACTGTGCTTATTCAATCACCGTGTGTGGTGGTGTCCAGTCGGTCGCCATCATCAGCAGCAGCGGTAGTGCTTTCGGCGCGTGGTGTTGAACATTGTTCTCCAGTACACAACGAAAGGCTAAACGCAAGCAGCGAGTTGCAGCCCACTGAGCGTCTATTCATCAAAGAAGGAGGAAGAAGTCACACCGCTACTAATCGGATTAGCTGTATACCAAATAACCAAATGCCAAGTGCGTCACCCTCGTTCCTAACAACATACAGCTCGCCAGCCTCATCTGTGTTGAGCACCCTAATAGCTCAGCATTAGTCAACCATCACGACAAAACGGTCCTTTTCAAGACCACCATAAATTTGTTAAAGAGCATTTTCTTTGCCAAGGTCATCAACGGATGTCAGTTCCCATAAGTTTAAATCTAACATACCATGTATTTTAAAGGCAACATTAAAAAAGCAAACTTGGTCGCGCCATGAAGGTGGTCTGATTTTGATCCAGAGATAATGGATTTTAATTCTGAAATGTTTCTACGAATCTGTTAAAATTAAGACTTTATCAATTTTCCAAAGGTCACTATTGAAAATTGCACGAATGTGCACCTGTTGCTATGATAATTAAAACTATCACCTATTGCCTGGGAAAAGCGCTTTCCCTAACACAGATTTCAAAATCGAATTCCATCCGGTCTCGCCGAACTCGATTCACCGAAGAAGGAGGAAGAAGCCGCACTGCTACTGATCGGATTCAGTTGCTCGTCGCTGTGTTCCATCTATGCCAAGAGAGTCACTAGGAAAAGCAAAAGAATCTTGAATTTATGTAATTGATCGCGAATATCTCGCGACTAGAAAATTTTAGCAAGAAATTCCTCCAATTCGCTTCTGTTATTATCTATGCGTAATTCTGTCATCATAAAATGAGGCGTTTCCATGATGAGAGAAAAGTGGTTTCCCTCACACAGTCTCCAAATATGGATACCGAGCACGTAATCCTACGTTAAATCTACGGTCGTGTCTTGGATACAACATCTTCCTTTTTTTTAGGAATTTGTTTAGTTTGTTTAGTGCGATTCTTCTTTTGCTGGAAACAAGTTTTCAAACGTGGTAGTGCATCACTAATGAGTGTCATTTCTACCATCGCTCATCACTTTAATGTGTAAACAGCAAACAAATATAATATGTATCAATCAATAATATTCATATCAATATCAATAACTGGTAAACGTCATCAAAACCAGCGTGATCCTGGGCACTCCAAATGACTACAATTGAACTGGTTTTTGAATTATCATGTGATTTGAGGCATCGCATGATGGGTTTTGACCCTAGTCAGAAACTGACTACTTCCCCGGGGTACCCGTAATATGGCCGGATGTGACCAGCGTAATCCTGGGCACTCCAAATGACTACCATTGAACTGGTTTTAGAATTATTATGTGATTTAAGGTATCGTTTGATGAATTTTGATCCTACTCAGAAACTGGCCACTTGCCCAGGGGTTCCCGGATGTGACCAGCGTGGTTTTTGCACTCCAAATGACTACCATAGAACTGTTTTTTGAATTATCATATCATTTGATGTGTTACATGACGAGTTTTAACCTTAGTCATAAACTGGCCACTTCTCAGGGGGTACCCCGTACCTGTCCGTATGTGACCGGTGTGGTCCTGAGGACTCCAAACGAATACCATTCAACTAGTTTTTGAATTCTCATATCATTTGATGGGTCACATGATTGGTTAACTCCATGGAAGTCCAGGCCAGTCAAGGAAGTCTTCTTTTTCCATCTGGGAAATAACGTCTCAACTGAAACTTTATACCTGTCCATGACAGCTGTGCGAACACTTGGAGGCGGCGGAACTCAAACAGCACCTGATAAATCCGCTTCTAATTCAAGATCTGGTTGAAAAGCTCAAAGATAACGACAAGCGCGAGTGGGTGCGCTTCAAGCGCGGGAAAAAGAAAGTAACCCTAAGGACCTTCACCGATTTCCTCTCCGAAATAGTCTCGGAGGCCTGCGAAGCGAACGTCAGCATGGACTACAAGTCAACCGGAAGGTTTAGCAGCGACAACCGTTCGGGGAATGCCCAAAGCAAAGCGAAGGAGAAGGGTGCGGTGTTCAACCACAGCGAAGCTGATAATCGTCAATCCGGCGTTGGAGAACGAAGGAATCTAAAGCCGTGCAGGGCGTGTCAGCGTACAGACCATCGATTGCGGTACTGCCAAGATTTCAAGAACCTGTCGTACGCGGACCGGATGAAGGTTGTGGATCGCTGGAAGCTGTGCTACGTGTGTCTGAACGAACACGGTTCGGCGCAGTGTAAGTTCAAGCTGCGATGCAACGTTGGAGAATGCAGACAAGCTCATAATTATCTTCTGCATCCGATCGATGGTGCAATTGGTACCACAGCGCACATTCGGACAAACAACGTCACTTTGTTCCGAATGATACCGATTAGTCTCCACTGCGGAGAAATATCCATCACTGTGTTGGCTTTCCTGGATGAAGGTGCATCGGTGACTCTGGTGGAAAGGAACTTGGCGGATCGCTTGGGAGCAGTCGGAGTCCACGAGAAACTCACCATAAAGTGGACGGCCGACATTGCTAGAGTGGAGAAGGAGTCAAAGCGGATGAATTTGTGGGTCTCGGCTGTTGATGCGGATGAAAAACTTCTTCTGAAGACGGTCCGCACTGTCGAAAAGCTGATGTTGCCTACACATTTGCGGCAGTATAAGCATATGCGAGGATTGCCCATCTCCTCGTATGACGGACGGCCGGAAATACTCATCGGGTTGAACAACATCCACTCGTTCGCCCCGATTGAAGCAAAGCTCGGTGCAGTTATTGATCCGATAGCCGTGCTATCGGTGCAAGCTCGGATGGACGGTCTATGGACCGAAGCAAGCGAACGCTGTCGAAGCGAGCAGCGAATATCTTGGAATCCACCAGGAAGTGACAAACGAAGACCTTCATAATCTGCTGAAGGCACACTACGCACTGGAAGAATCGGTCGTTGGCGTACCGCGGGAGTCTGCTGAGGACGAGAGAGCTCGCGAGATCCTCGAGAAGACCACGAGACGAATCGGTGACCGCTTCGAGACCGGGCTACTATGGAAAACGGACGATCCAAGGTTCCCGGATAGCTACCCGATGGCGTTGCGAAGGCTGAAGCAGTTGAAGAAGAAGCTAGAGAAGAATCCGGAACTTCACGTGAACGTTTGTAAGCAGATCGATGAGTATCAGGAGAAGGGGTATGCGCACCTTGCTACTCCGGAGGAGCTCGTTGGAACGGAACCTGATAAGGTATGGTACCTTCCACTAAACGTGGTACTGAACCCCAAAAAACCAGGTAAGGTGCGCCTCGTGTGGGATGCTGCGGCTACGGTGCAAGGTATCTCCCTGAATTCACAGCTGTTAAAAGGGCCTGACATGCTTGTGCCGCTAGTGACTGTGGTTGTTGGGTTTCGGGAATACAGAATTGCTGTAGGTGGCGATCTGCTTGAAATGTATCACCAGATGAAGATCATCGCTCGGGATCGGCAAGTACAACGTTTCCTCTTCCGGAAAGATTCCAAGGGACCTCCACGCGTGTTCGTCATGGACGTTGCCACGTTTGGATCGACGAGCTCTCCCTGTTCGGCCCAATATGTGAAGAACCTCAACGCTCAAGAGTACGCTGGGCAATATCCGGAGGCAGCAGCGGCGGTTATCAACCGTCATTACGTCGACGACTACTTTGATAGCGTCGACACCGTAGACGAGGCGATCGAGCGAACGGAGCAAGTCAGGTTCATTCACCAGAAGGGAGGCTTCGAGATTAGGAACTGGGTTTCGAATTCGCCGGAAGTTCTCCAGAGCCTCGGTGAGCAGAAACCGGTTTCAGCCGTCCACATCACCGAAGACAAAGTAACGTCACACGAACGCGTGCTAGGTATGATCTGGGATCCGGATCGTGATGAATTATCTTTCTCCACCCAACATCGCCAAGAGCATCTTCCGTACCTATGCGGAGACAAACGGCCAACGAAACGTGCGGTGTTAAGCTGCGTCATGGGCTTCTTCGATCCGCTTGGTTTACTTTCTCCGTTCACGATCCACGGAAAGATCATCGTGCAGCACTTATGGCGTAGTGGCTGCGATTGGGACGACGCGATTAGCGACGATTGCTGGGAAATGTGGAAGCGCTGGATTGCTGTACTGCCGGAAGTCGAGAACATTAGGATTCCACGTTGCTATCTTGGAGATTCCTTGTCGTCTGCGGTTGAGTCAATTGAAATTCACATCTTCACGGATGCCAGCGAACACGCATACGGCTGTGTTGCGTATCTGCGAGTAGTCATCGACGGAGCTGTGCGGTGTATTCTAGCTATGTCTCGATCGAAAGTGGCACCGTTGAAGCGCCAGTCAATCCCACGACTGGAGTTGATGGCGGCTGTGCTTGGAGCGCGGATGAGTCAAACGATGATCGCTACGCATTCACTGAAAATCGATCGATGCATACTGTGGACAGATTCACGAACGGTTTGGAGTTGGATCCAGTCTGACCAACATAAATACAAACAGTTTGTTGCGTTCAGGATCGGAGAAATACTGGAGTTGACACGAGCGACGGATTGGCGATGGGTTCCAACGAAGCAGAATATGGCGGACGTCCTGACGAAATGGCATCGAGGTAACGATCTGGAAAGCGATGGGGTATGGTTCACGGGTGCACCGTTCCTGCACCAGCCCAAAGACCAGTGGCCGACTATGGAGGTGACGATCGAAGAGACGTACGAGGAAGCCAGGGGCCACGTGACATTCCATGGCGTGGTTGAAGTAGACCGATGCTCGAGATGGACAACGCTGCAAAGGGTGATGGCGTGTGCGGTCAGGTTCATCGACAATTGCAAACGCAAGGTAGCAGGGCTGCCGATAGTCACCTTGAAGGCAACAGATAACCAGCAACATCAAATCCTGGTACCGATGCAATCGATGCAACGTCCGCTCGAGAGAGATGAGTTTCGAACTGCGCAGATCATCCTGTGGAAGCAAGCACAGTTCGAAGGATTCCCAGATGAGATGAGCATCCTCACCAAGAATCTGGAACAACAACCAGATGTAGTAATGGAAACGGTGAAGAAGAGCAGTTGCCTGTACAAATTGACTCCGATTCTGGACAAAGAAGGTGTGCTGCGGTTGGGTGGTAGAATGGATATGTCCGTCGACATGCCTTTCGACAAAAGGTGTCCAATAATTCTGCCAAGAAAGCACGCGACGACGGAGAAGCTGATCCAGTTCTACCACGAGAAGTATGGACACGCCAATCGAGAGACAGTGATGAACGAGCTTCGCCAAAGGTTCTGGATTCCGAACACCCGAGCTGCAATCCGTCAAGTGATGAGCAATTGCGTGTGGTGTAAAGTCCATCGCTGTCAGCCGCATGTTCCTATGATGGCACCGCTTCCGATACAGCGAGTCACACCCTATCTGCGACCGTTCAACTCGGTGGGTATCGACTATCTAGGTCCGATAGAAGTGACTTTGGGACGAAGAAAGGAGAAACGATGGGTCGCGGTGTTCACTTGTTTGGCTGTACGAGCGGTACACCTAGAAGTGGTGCGTAGTCTCTCAACGCAATCCTGCTTGATGGCCCTTCGAAGGTTCAGCTGTAAGCGAGGCGTACCACAGGAAATTTTTTCGGACAACGCGACGTGTTTTGTAGGTGCCGATAACGAGTTGAAAAAGATCAACAGCGACTGTGCGACCAGCATAACGAACGATAATACCGCGTGGCACTTCAATCCACCGGCTGCACCGCACATGGACGGCATCTGGGAGCGGATGGTGAGGTCGGTAAAGGAGGCGATGAAGGCGCTGGACGATGGGCGAACATTGTCCGACGAGGTTCTGCACACAACACTAGCTGAAGCAGAGGACATGATTAACGCCCGGCCGCTAACGTACATACCGCAGGAATCAGCTGAGGAAGAAGCGATTACCCCGAACCATTTCCTTCGTGGGTCGGTGACAAGTGCGGATTTGGTGGTCCAGCCAGTGGACATTGCGGAGGCTCTACGAGATACTTACAAGCGTTCTCAATACCTGGCGAACCGAATGTGGGAAAGATGGTGCAAGGAATACTTGCCGACAATCAACAGACGGACGAAGTGGTTCGAGGAGCAGAAGCCGCTACAGGTGAACGACCTGGTCTTCATAGTGGATGGAAAAACCCGGAAAAGCTGGATCCGAGGGATCGTGGAAGAGATACTCCGAGGACCAGACGGAAGAGTGAGGCAAGCGATAGTGCGGACGGCTAGAGGAGTCTACCGGCGTGCTGTAGCGAACTTAGCGGTGATGGAGGTCTGAAAGTAAATCCGGGATTTCCGGAGGAACTACCGGATGTTACGGGCTGGGGTATGTCAACACCGCAGGGCAGCAAATCCAACACAACGGTGTGCGTAGCTGCGGTTGGCGTACCTAATGTTATTGCCGTTTCGTACCGTTGTCAGAAGTGAAGAAAGGGAAGAGAAAAACAAAACCAAAACAAACCAAACACAATTTATAATGGACATTGTTAGCAGATAAAGTGAAATTATAGAGGAATTCAAGGAATATTTCGGATCATAAAGTTCGTCTATACTGTGCATCTGGTTCCCCTTCGGCGTCCCGAACATAGAAGGAAATTATAATTGTAAGTAGTTCTAGCAGGTACCTGGAAAAGTAAAACATTAACACAAAATAATTAATTAGTGGAACAGGCGTATAGGAAAGCTAGCGACGATTTTAACGGGAGAATTCGTGGTAAATAGAAGGAAGAGCTAGAATGAGGAAACGGTTGTGTAGCGCACAAAAGTAGAATTAGACCACTTCTTGTAAGTTCGGAATCAAATTTATCGGATTTAATTTTCTAATAAAATCTTAATATTACAGTTTGAGCTGCCACAAAAAAAGAGGCTGCTACAAAAATTTTGGTTTGGTATCCGAACAACCATTCTTTTTCTTCTTCTTCGTATTTCAACCTTAATGCTTATCGCATTTTAGCTTATTGCGTGCTCTCAACTTAGTGTTCTGATGCACTGTGAAAGTTATTAATTGAGAGCTTTCGATGCCTGTACCATTTTTGCATTAGTATAATTGTGTGGCAAGAACAATCATACTCTATTGCCCAGGGAAGTCGAACAATTTTCCAACCCGAAAAATTCTTATTCCGGATCGGGAATCGATTCCAGCCAGCTCCAGCATGGTGTTGCTTTTTAGCTGCGCCTTTACCGACTGAGCTAAGGGAGGCCATGACCATTCTTGCGTTGTTGATTTCGTACATTGTGTGGCAAGTTCACAAAACTTCCAACCCTAAAATATTCTGGACCGAACTGGAGGCCAGGTACATCAGAGAAGTCCAGGATACAAACATTCCGCTTGAAACTGTTTTGTTCGTTACAATATGGTCAGTAAAATGAAACAGCATGTGCGTAGTTTTTAATTTAACGATTTATTCAAATTTATTGAATTATCGAAGCAAAATATATAATAATTTGCTATATTTGCTAGTGATTTTTATGGCATATCATGAAGTTTAAGCGTCTGCTTTGTTTCTACGTTGCATTATAATTTTAAATTAGCACTATCATATGTACATAATATTGTTTTTTTTTTTAATATATATAAATATAATTATGGTTGTATAATATCATTTTTTGTCTTGATCTTTTTTGTTTAATCAATTAAGTGTTTTAGCGTCTAAAATCGATTTAAAACCTGATAATGTGTGTGTCTCTTTTCCCTTTCACTTGTTTACTTATTCTTGCTTGCTTTTACGATTCGATTTTATTCGATTTTGTTGTTCTTTGTTGTTTGCTTGTTGATTTTGTTTTGTTTTTCGTTTGTTGTCTCTTTGATTTACCGAGACTGTGCATATCTCAACATGGTACATTACATCACTTTGCACTTTTCCTTGAGACTACTGCTACCCCCCTCGCCCTCGGCTCCACCTGCCGCAGCAGCAGCAGCAGCAGCACCGTCCTTCTTGGTTCCGTTCGCTTTTTCTTTGGGCTCTTCCTTCTTCTTTTCCTTCTCCTTTTGCGTTTTCTCTTTCTCCTTGGCTTGCTGTTTCGCCTTCTCCTTCTTTTCCTTCAGCAGTTTCTCCTCCTTCGCTTGCTCTTTCATCATTTTCTTCTTGTTTTTCTTTTTGTTTTTGCCGTCCAACTGCAGGGAAACGTTTCGATTCTTTTCCATGTTTAGCAGTTCCTGAAATTAGTCGATTTTAGTAAGTTTAGCGTTCATTGTGAAAAGGTAAAATCGTTTACCTGAAACAGCTCGGTAACGTTGTGGTTCTCCTTGGCGGAGGTCTCCATGAACGAGATTCCCCAGGTGGCAGCTTCCGTTTGGCCTTCGATGTTGGTAACCTCCCGCAACTCCTCCGGTTCATCGCACTTATTTCCGACCAGCATCACTGGAATCTGGGAAATCTCTTCCCCCTGAATTGAGATTGGAAAATTAATTAAGTTTTCCATTGCCTCTGGTCGAGAAACAACACTTACCTTTAGCTCCCTAACCAGGCTCCAGATGGGTTTGAGCTCCTCCAGACTCTGCTTGGAGCACACTGAGTATACGAGAATGAAGGCATGACCTTTGGTGATGGATAGTCGTTGCATGGCCGGGAATTGATGCGACCCGGTGGTGTCGGTGATTTGTAGTGTGCATATGTTTTTGTTGCAGCTAATCACCTGGGAATTGGAGGGAAGAGAATCATAGAACATTAGTGCGGGGGAGGTGCAGAACGAACGGATGGCGATCCAAATGAAGAGTAAGAGTTCATTAATTTTGCTCCATTGGCACGTCGTGCTGTGGTTGCAGTGTTGGACTATACGATGTACTCGCAGTGAGGCGATTCTAATGAAAATATTTGCAATGGGCTGGGTAAGCCCGGGAAATTTCAGTGTATTTGATATAAATTTCCCGGGACGTTTATGGAGAATTTTATGAACGTCGTGCCGATTTTTGATTTTAACAACACAACTTTATTGTCTTCTATTATAAAATAGACATCGCTGCAAAATCTAGCTCTATTTTAGGTTCTGTGCATACATTGACATTATTCAAAAGAATGTGCATTTTACGCTAAAGGTCACGAGTTCTAAGCTCATCCCGGAAAAGTCACAAATGACCGAAAATGTGTTGAAATCAGTGTTGAAAAGTATCAATATTAGTACCAACAAAATGCTGATTTTCACTATCCCTGTCAGTATCAGTCAGTGTCAGTATCCGTTAACATGATGTCAATATCAATGTCACTCGCCTCAATGTCAGTTCACATATGACATTGATATCGTAACGGAACCAACTGAAATTCAAAGTTCTGTACCGAATATTATCCACGAACGCCGGGTAATCGGGAACTGATCTTTAGAAAACTCATCAGTACTATCGAAACAATGCTATGGTCATACAAAATTTATTTATTTATTTAATTAAAAAAAAGAGTGTGCATTTCGTAGTTGCTCCTCCGTCATAGATCAGAACTAATGCATGGAATAAGCTTTCCATCTTCAATGTACAAGTACACTAATTCAATCTATTTATAGACCAATCACAGCGCCGGCCACGTACTCACGGTCTTTTGGAGAGGGAAGGATGATTAGTTCGACGTCCAGTTGTTATTAGAGACCGAATACGCCTCTGTATCTCCACGGCTTTCACGGGAAGGATAGTTGTTAGTATGAGGTGGGATATTTTTAAATCGATCGGTTAAAGAAGAATTCGTTTTCATTAAAATCTAGTGAGGATAGAATAAGGCAAAGTGAAAAATTGCAAGGAAGGGGACGGGCCTGGCATTGAACACTCTCGACCTTCTGCTCAGTAAGCAGAAACGCTCACCACTGAGCTACCGAGCCTCACCTTCAATGCAATGGTCATACAAAATAGTTCATTTATTGAAATAAAAGTAAGATTTCAACTGTTCTCGCCCGATATCATGCTTCCTAGGAATATCAGTGTCGGAAGTAAAATGCACTGTTGTCGCAATATCTACTGTCGATTGACATTGTTTCCAGCAAGGTTGAAAATGCTCATATTTATAGCATATAAATGTTCTTGGGAATTATTAAATCATAAGATGATAAGATCACCTGTCACACTTGTAAGCTACCAGAAGAGGTTGCAAAGTATGTGTTTGACATATAAAACCTGTCAATTTTGCTTTCTGAGAGTCAAAATCCGCGATTTTATAATCGTTGAGTGACTGAGTGAAAAATTATCAAATTGCTGATTACGATTCTCAGGAAAACAAATGAAAAGCATTTCCAAGTCAAATAGTAAAAAAAAATGCATTTCAAACTTGACCTTTTCCGCTTTGCATGAAATTTTGCATAATTGTTTGTTATGGTCACACTTGAGCAAAATTCGGCCATTTTGAATCTCTCAAAATGGGGTATTCGATATTTTTCAACAAATCATAACTTGAAAACGTCACTTTTAATCAAATGACGTCTGAGACAATGTTGTTAGAAAAAATAATTCCTTTTCAGGACAAATATACACGGTAAAAAATTCAAGTTAATTCGAGTTAAAAATAAAAAAAAAGTGTTTCTAACTTCAATAACAAAAAATGAGCATCTTCAATATTTTTATAAAATTGTCATTAAAAGGCTTTTGAAAAATCAAAGATGACATTAAGCATGCTATCTTTTGTTCAAATTTCAAGCTAAACACTAAAAAATTAACAGAAATCATAGAACAACAACGTTTGGTCAAATTTTTTAACTTCTTGTTTATTCCTTTAAATTTATCGAACCTCTTAGCGGAATCCCTTTATGATGCATGAGATTCAAGTTCATGCAAATGTCAAACACATACGTTGCAACCTCTTCTTGTATCCTACTAATAACAAATAGTACCATAACATCCAATGAATTCATAACTCCTCCACAAAGCATATTTTTATGTAAAATGCGTATTTGGAACCTTGGTTGACAGTTCACTGAGCCACTGAGCGAGAGCGCGAACGGGAGTTGGACGATCCATTGCATTTCAGATTCTTTAAGTCGCTCAGATAAATGTAGAAGCCATCTGCAGTAGAATAATTCTATTGCATACCCACTCGAAAAAATAAAGGTAAAGTGAGAGTTGTGCGTGCTTAGTAGGACGGAATTTAGATTTAAAAAAAACCTATCGGAGGAGAGGGATCATAGGGTTCAGATATAATTTCCGTCATTCTAAGCACAACCCGCACTTTACCTCTCTTTTTTACGTAGGACTACGTCTGTGATTTATATATGGGGGTACATTTTGTGAAAACCAAAAAAGGAACATGTAACAAAACTATGAAAGATTTTGAACGTTAATAACTCAGCTGCCCCTGGACCAATTTCAATAATTTTATCACCAATCGATCATAAATATTTCTACGCATCTGTTGAATTCCAGACTTTATCATTTTCAAAATTTCACTATTGAAAGTTGCACGAATGTGCAACTGTTGCTATGATAATTAAAATTAACACCGATTGTATGCGAAAAGCGATTTCCCTAACACAGATTGTAAAGTTGAATTCCATTCGGTCTCACCAAACGGTGTTTATTCAATCACCACGTGGTGAGTGGTGGTGTTCTCCAGTACACAACGAAAGGCTCATCACAAGCAGCTGGCTATCAAGGATGGCCTCAACCGCTGATCGGATTCAGTTCTAATCACCGTGTGTGGTGGTGTCCGGTCGTCGGCATCAGCAACAGCAGCTGCAGTACTTTCGGTGCGTGGCGTTGAGCATTGTTCTCCAGTACACAACGAAAGGCTGCCTGCAAGCAGCGAGCATGAGCATCTATAGAATGAGGAAGAAGTCGCATCACTATTGATCGGAATCAGTAACTCTTCGTGAGTCGCTGTGGGTCATCTATGCCAAGCGCCTCACTCACTTTCCAAACAACATACATCTCACCAGCCTCACTTGGACCTGGAAATTTGTCAAGATCATCAATCGGATGTCAGTTCCCATATCAAGATAGAGCTAGAATTAGGGCGTAACATCTTTTGTAAACAATGACTTCTACGCCTACTTTCAGCTCTATCTATAAATGTTTAAATCTAACATACCACGTTCTTAGAGGATACATTGGAGGTGCAATTTCAAAAAACAAAGTCGGTCGTGGCCTGAAAGTAGTCTGATTTTGATCCAGAGATGATGGATTTTAGTTCTTAATTCGCCAATCGATAGGATTTTTTTTACGAATCTGCTAAAATTAAGACTTTATCGATTTTCAAAAGGTAACTACTGAAAACTACACGAATGTGCAACTGTTGATATGATAATTAAAATTATCACCGATTGCCTGCGAAAAGTGCTTTCTCTAACACAGATTTCAAAATCGAACTCCATCCGGTCTCGCCGAACGGTGTTTATTCAATCACCGCGTGTGGTGAGTGGTGGTGTCCGGTTGCATCAGTTGCAGCAGCAGTATCAGCAGTGCTTTCGGCGCGTAGCTTTGTACATTTTTCTCCAGTACACAACCAAATGCTCCCCGCAAGCAGCTAGCTATCAAGGCTGTCCTCAAGATCCCTCGATTCACCGAAGAAGGAGGAAGAAGCCGCACCGCTACTGATTAGATTCAGTGGTTCTTCGTGAGTCGCCGTGGGCCATCTATGTCAAGCGCGTCATACTAAAGAGTATAAACAGAGAGAACCCCGCTCAAATTCCTATGCCTATACAAAACACAAGCTCCTGCTGCAGTTAACAAATAAGATTTATTGTATAAGGCCACGTAGTCCTACGTCACCATTGCGTACAACCCCATAGGGCTGTCCCTTGTAGTTTTTCTAACAGATTTGAGCAAAAAATTAAATTTTTCTATCAAAGATTACTTCTAGATTTATTAACCTTTCCAAACGTACCGTTAAATTTAAAGATTACGAATTGGTGAAATACTGTTCAAATTCTAGCACTGCTTCTTGATTTCAATTTCGTTATACGAGTTTTAATCCCGTTCAAACACATTGAAACGTCATTGTATTTACTTTGTCAGCAGAAATGGATTCGCTTGGGGTGGTTTTGTTTTGTTTTTGAGAATAATGAATGTAAATACAGGGTGTTCAATACCTGATAAAACCTGAAATTCTCAGATAATTTTAAAATTTTGAAATTCTTCATGAATCAATTTCAAAATTGGAATTTAATATATTGAAAATTGTCAATGAACCTTCTCAAGAATATCAAAACATTTTATAATATAACCAAATTTATTTTTCTCGTAATTCGCTTTCACTCATGGAACATAATAATTTTGAAGTGGATTTATCATCAGTAATAACATAAATTATGAAAATTGTCAGACTTGGACGAACTTTCAAGAATCTCGAACGAAATTAAATATTCAAGAAGTCGGACATTGAATATTTTCCAATAACCCATATTAAGAAAAAATAAGGGCATTGAAAAACTCTCACAGCTTATCGGCTATGCTGAATGAATTTGATGTGAATTTCCAAGGAACTCTAGGGATAATTTCAAGGGAATTCGGAGGAGTATTCCAAGAGGCTTGTTAGGAAAACTTGAAGTGAAATCCGAGGAGTCCTTTCAGGCCAGTTTTTTTGTTTTTCTTTTAAATGTTTTCCGTCGATCTTGTTTTCCGTGCTGAGCACTAATGCTACCGACGCCAGGCAGGACACCTGAACCCTACCTATCGACCCATCACATCAACTCATGTTCACGGGGACCAACGGCTTTACTTCCCTTCC